TTTGACTGACCAAAACTTAGACCAATGCTTCTAGAGGACAGGAACTTTCCCAGTGTTTTGGCATAAGGCATAGTTTTTAGTGGGTTTTTTTCTTTCAAGGGAAATGGGGAGAAGCAGCAACTACGGCTAGGTGAACAGTCAAAGTTGGTTTGGTGTGTTTTCCTTCTCTTACAGTTCTGTGTAGCTCTAACAGTTGATCTTACTGAGCAGTTTCAGTGATAGCTGCATGCTTTTTTCAGTATTTCTTGGTGAAGAGGAATGCTTGCTTTGAATGGTAGTGGGACGGTGAGTCTTGCTAATCAGAAAGTAGGGTGGGAAACCAAGTTACGTGTGGCAGAAAGGAAGCAGCTTTGCTTTCCTTCGCTGTTTTTTGGGTAAGGCTGAAGCAATGCAGGTTTTATTCCTACTTTGTGACTAGAAACTGAGATGAGAAGGGACGACTTTATAGAGCATGTCTTGCTCTAGTTATTAAAATGATGACTTTGAATTTAAATATTTGTATTTATAGGTATCCACCAGAAGCACCAGAGCTTCAAATCCGGAAAATGGCAGACTTGTGCTTTTTGGTGCAACACTATGAACTTGCGTATAGCTGTTACCATACAGCAAAGAAAGACTTCTTAAATGATCAGGCAATGCTTTATGCAGCTGGAGCACTGGTTGGTACTTCATGTAACATAAACACTCTGTGACCTTTTCCTAATGATCTTTAATATCTGTCTGAAGGTAACGAAATGCAATCTCTTCCCTCCTCCTCCAAATTTGTAAGGGTCTTGCTAAATTTGCTACGTATCTTCAGCACATCCTAAAGTGTTCTCAAATCTATTGGCTGCTATTTTATGAAGGGAATAAAGGGGTGAATAAAAATGGAAGTTAATTCTTAAAATGTGAAATATGGCAAGGAGAATACCTAGAATGCAACCTCGAGCAAAATGGGTCTTTAAACGCATAGTCTGGTAACTCAAACGGGTGTGAAATAACTTTATCGTGTCTCTTTTAGACTTCGGCAAATTATTTGCCAGGAAGTCAAGACTATGTTACTATAATTATCATATTGTACCCTTTTTTTGTTAAGACTCTTGAGGGATATAGTTTGAGTATGTCACTGCTGAACTTCAGTGTAAACACATACTCATTCATTAATTTCTCCAGCGATTGACGGTGTATGTGTCTAAAATAATTTTCAGCAAGGTAAATGGGAGCACTGGGGAAAAGTAAGAAGCTTGTTTTCAGATGTTTAGAAGCTACATTTTGTAGACTTTAGTCCGCTTAACTTGATAAAATTTGAAACTTTATTTTGTAGAGCTGTGGAAGCATTCTTAGACACTGTCCCATGTCGATGTAAAACCCTTACATAAATGTGTATTTTTGCAGTACAGAGAGTTGCTCTGCATTTGGATAATCTGGAAAGTTACCTTAGTGTCCTAATGGTTCATAGAGGTCTTAATTGTGATTTTTTTGCAACCTACAAGTCTTAGTTGGTACTCACTGCCGAAAAACTTTGTGATCCTATCTTGTGATCCTATCTTCACCCCATAATGAAAGAAGTAAAGTTTCGCAGTGCATGTTTACTGGAGTTTCTGTAGAAGCTGAGTATGTAACTTCATTTAAGCAAAACTCACTAGTGCTACTGATCAGAAAGATTGTTCCTGCCATAGGAAATTATCTCTTGGACTGGTAAAGCAGTACTGAATCAATGCTTCTGCGTAGTGTTCGGGGTACCATTAACTGGAAACACTTCTATGGGCATGTATAACTCTTGCTGCTGTCTGGTTAATTACAAAGAGCCGTAAATAGGCTATTGTATTAAACCTCTTATCAATTAGTGTGGTGGGTATGCTTTTATACGCCACTAACAGATTAGATGAAGATCTTGAACTATAGTAGCTGTTGAAACAGGTTTCTCAGCATTTTGAGGTTTACAATTTATTTGAACTGCAGTGACAGTACTGAATTTCTCTTGTAGGAAATGGCAGCAGTATCAGCTTTTCTTCAGCCTGGAGCTCCTAGACCGTATCCTGCTCATTATATGGAAACGGCGATTCAGACCTATCGAGATATCTGCAAGTATGTTGTTTACTTTCATACTGATCCAATGAAAGTTGAAAGACCTGGTGGCTCAACTTTTTGGAAAGTAAGATACGTCAGTTTATCTAGGATAACGTGGAATGGGATCTATGCTATGCTTAACAGAGTGCTTATTAAACTTGTGTGGTGGATTTATCTGGTAAGATTTTGGTATTGGGGTGGCTGCAGAGGTGGCTTCTGTGAGAAGATAGCAGGAGCTGCCCCTGTGTCGGGCAGAGCCTGTTCTCACCCAGCTCCAAAGTGGACCTGCTGCTGCCCAAAACGGAGCCTGTCAGCAGCCCTGGTGGTGCCTCTGCAGTAACGTGCACAAAAGGTAAAACTCGCTGCGCAGCAGCTGAGATAGGAGTGAGAAAATGAGAGCAACAGCCCTGCAGACACAGAGGTCAGCGAGCAAGGAGGAGGTGCTTCCCTGCAGCCTGTGGAGAAGGCCGTGGTGGAGCAGGCTGTCCCCCTGCAGCCTGTTGGAGGATCCTGGTGGAGGACCCAATGCCAGAGGAGGTGGATGTGTCCTGAAGGCAGCTGCAGCCTGGGGTTCTTGGCAGGAGTTGTGACCCATGGGGAGCCCAGACTGGAACAAGGAAGGACTGCACCCCGTGGAAAGGACCCATGCTGGAGCGATTCTTGAAGAACTGTATCTGTGGGAGGGACCCCCCACCAGAGCAGGGGAAGAGCATGGAGAGGAAGGAGTGGCAGAGATGAAACGTTATGAACTGACTGCAGCTCCTTTTCCCTGCCCCGCTTGCGGGGAGGAGGAGGTAGAGAGTTGGGAGTGAAGTTGAGCCTGGGAAGGAGTCGTCAGGGGAAGGTGTTAGTTTTGATTTACCACTATTGTATTCTGTATTAATTGGCAATAAATAAATTTAATCTTGCCCAAACCAAGTCTGTTTTGCCTGTGACTAATTGGTGAGTCATCTCCCTGTCTTTATCTCAGCGCATGAGCTTTTTAATCTAATTTTCTCCCCTTGTGTTGCTGAGGAGTGGCTGGGATAGAGCAGCTTGGTGTGCGCCTGGTACCCACCAAGGTCAGCCCAGCACAGCTTGTTTCTGGCTGTTGGACTTCTCGTTCATCAGATCATTTGGTTGGTTGGGTCTTTTTGGTATTTTTGTAAATACAGTACTGACCTCAAAAATGCTCTCTAGGTCTGACTTTCAAAAAGCTGCTGTTATAGTAGGACAGGACAACGTGTACCTGGCTGTTTTGCAGGGGATGAACTTCCGTATATTTTACTTTAAGACAGATAAACAACAGAACATCAGTCTGATGTGATACGGAGAAAATTTGTCAGATTTGAGGTGAAAAGTTTTCCATGGTTTATTTTGATAAATATTTGTTAATACATGTGTGTTTTTGCTTTAGGAACATGGTTCTGGCTGAACGCTGTGTGCTGCTTAGTGCTGAAATCTTAAAAAGTCAAAGCAAATACTCAGAGGCTGCTGCTCTTCTGATTCGTTTAACCAGTGAGGTAAAACACTCGGTAACTTTTTCCGCTCTTGCCCTCCCTCTATTTGTTTACTTACCCAAGCACTTCCAGATCGCATTCTGCTTCTTGTCCTATGATATTTTCTAGCTGAAGGTAGCAAATGAGCCAGTATAAAGTTTACACTGCAAGTGAAGAAACTAGTACTGTTTTTCTTTCTAGTCAAGTGACTTGCTCGACTTCTTGAAACGTGACAAATGTGCATTTGTTATCTCTGGCTTTATAACTAGTTGTCTTTGACATCTACTTAGCTCTTGTGTGACATGCTTTCAGTTTAAGAACTCATGGGTTAAAAGTATTAGCATGGCTTGGCAGAGCAGGTATGGATACTGTCCCACATATCATCAGAAGTTCTCTGTAGTTTAAGTAACTAAGTCATTGCTGTAGCTCAGCTGTTAGGAATCATTAGAATCTTACTGTGTAAGTGAAAGCTAGTCTGAACACTTCTGCAGAATTAATTGGTGGAAATTAAGCATGGAATTAGCTTCTAACAGCCCAGAAAGCATCTTGCTTCAAAAGGAGTGAAGCAAAAGTAATACCAGCAACAGCATAACATCTCCTGTGTTGCTCGGAGGGAAGTGTAACTGGCAGGCAGTTCTGGCTTTGTGGCTGGCTGCACCGACTGTGATGCTTCTGAGACTTTTCCTGGGACAGAGTAAGTGTGGGATAAACTTGCTTAGTTCTGTAAGTTTCTCTCTCAAGTATCTTAGTAGCTTCATTCTTGCTCTTGAAACTTAAGCTTGCTACCAAAATTTGTGTGAGCAGTATGTTATTTAAGGAAAGAATTTAAATACTGTTGGCTCTGCACAATCATTTTAACACTTAAAATTAAGTAGCATCCATCCTTCTGTCAGTTGCAAGGAAAGTCTTTATAGGGTGCTGTATAGGTGTCTTGGAATATATTTGTGGTCCAGACACGTACTTGGAAGTCATCAATAGTGTGGGGTTCAGTTGTGGTAAAATCAAGTAGATTATGTTCTGGTTGGATAAGGCAAGATAGCTGTGTCTTGGCATGAGGAGAAAAAGTGGGTAATGAATTGTTCATTATTAAGAAATCATCGTGGTTCTTGTAGTACAAACTCACTAAGTTCTACTCCTCCCTCTATTTTTCCTTCATCCTGTTAAAAGCTCTTAGTTTTTGTTTCTAGCCCTAATGTCTGCAGGGGGAGGGAGGGGAAAAGGTGTGCTTCAGAGGTGATGGTAGGTGTTAGAAAGCATAGCCTGGGTAACTGAAAAGGCAGAAAATATTTCTTTTGTGACTCGTACTGAAACACGTTGATATATAAATCCACTGGAGAAAAAAATACCAGCGTGTTCGGTATCAAACACTATATATAGAACAAAGTGAAAAATACTTTTAGTCTTGGTTTTTTATATACAAACATATATATAGTGTTTGTGTACAAAACTATCTTCAGCTTCACAGCATGTTGCAGCTTACTGTCCCTGTTAGCATTAAAAAAAAGGCCACTGTTGCCTTTGTGTTTGTATATTCAACTTTGGGGCTAACTCTCCTTTTTACTTTGAAATAGGATTCAGATCTTCGCAGTGCGCTTCTGTTGGAGCAGGCAGCCCATTGCTTTATCAACATGAAAAGTCCCATGGTTAGAAAGTTTGCATTTCATATGATACTGGCTGGCCATAGGTTTAGTAAAGCAGGTCAGGTAAGTATTACCTTTCTGCGTGGAAAATATGCCTGGTGCTTTGTACTCACTCCGAAAAACATGTGAAATGTGCCATTAGTCTGGGAAAAGATGCCTGGCTTGTGACAGTTCTGTGTTAGCCAGAAGTATTCAGCTCTGTGATCTGAGAATTACTTCTCTATTGATCAGCTTAGTCTTTTACTTCTGTATTTGGAGTAGTGCTGGAGATGACTGACTTAAGTGATGTGTGTTCTTCATTTCTGAGTCTCAGTTTTATACCCAGTGAAATACGAGGCTTTTTTATTTGGGTAAAGGAGTATTTTTTTACTCTTGAGATATGAGTAGGTTGCAGGAGTTAGGGATTTGTTAAACTCTTAATTTATTAGAATAACAGCAAAATGTAGATATCTTTTTCCTGGTGCCTTAACCACGTGCTTTTTAGTGGAGGTGCAGGTGTGTGAACAGTTACTACAAGACAAACTAAAGCATCTCTTTATGGCTGCTTAGACTTAAGTGGCAATTAAACCAATACAAATCAGATTGTTTTTACTTCCATTCACACTGCTGTGCAGGCAGCTCTAACTGTGGTAAATAAAGTTTGTTGGACATAACTTGTGTGCTTTATTCCTGCCTCAGTTGGGGGATAGACTCCCTAAAGGTAGCTTGTGCTTT